CTGTTTTCTAGCGAAGCTAAATCACGCACCACAGCTGATCCCCCCTCGCTGTTCTACTTACCTTCCCAAGCCTCCTTTTGATGTGCACTGCGCATATGCACGCAGCGCACATTTGGCACTCACTGTGCATGTGCCACGTGATGTATCCTGACTTTTTTCCCCTTTGCTAAACCAGGCATGGGTGTGGCCAGTGAGTGATGCACCCTGCCCACAGGCTGCGAATTTGACACCCCTGTTCTAGAGGAAACAATCCAACACACATCAAAGCACCAAGAAAGCTGACATCCTCTCACACTTCCTGAAAATCCACAATTTTTAGTGGAATTAAGTAGATACACAGGGCAGTGGCGGGTTGTTACCGGTTCTTCGTGGTTCTTGTGAACCGGTAGTGGAAATTTTGAATAGTTCAGAGAACCGGTAAATACCACCTCTGCCTGGCCCCACCCCCAATCTATTTGCTGCCTCCCAAATTCCAACTGATCAACTAGAAGGAAAAAATCAGGGCTCACTTGACAAAGAAGAGAAAAAAAAACAAGACACCTTAGCTTTAAATTGAGAAGCCAAGAAGCCTCCCAACTGATTGGCTAGAACCGATCCGCTCCTTGTAAACCGCTCGGTGTTGGTAGATTGGCAATTGAGGCCAAGCTGCCTGAAAGTGGTTTCCAATGCTCTCAGTGGTGGCAGAGCGGCAAAAAACTGTTTAAACTCTTGCCGCGGCGCTTCAAAGGACCGCCCTAAAGCTGATCAACGGTAAAAGGCAGTGTGGTGGTAGACCAGTGTACTCCAAAAACAAGTAGGTAGACCGGAACGCTCCAAAAACAAATGGGTAGACCGGAACGCTCCAAAAACAAATGGGTAGACTGGTATGGCTCTGCAAGCAGTTAAAAGCCTGGTAGACCAGTACTTCTGCTAAATCCTAAAGAATTGTTTGTCATATGACCATCAAAGCACGCCCACAAAATAAGCCACGCTCACAGAACCGGTAGTAAAAAAATGTAGAACCCACCCCTTACACAGGCGTATCTACTCCTCAATTCTTAGTAAATGTCCACTTTGCCCATCACTCTTTGCATCTGGTCTTTGCTAACTGACTTTGCACTAGGGGAAAAAAAATTGATTGGGCAAATGCCTAATTCAACTGAGCCTCAAATTAGTGCTATCTTATCTAATAACGGAAAGCTCAGATTACTTTACATCAGCTGCTTGTTTTCTTCTGCTATTCTTACTTGTCCTGGTTACTTATCACTATGTATCTGGTCAGCTTTCTTATCTCTCCTGAGCACTGGTTCCAATTTTCTATTGTTTGAGATTTTTCCCTTGCCCCTGTACACATACACAGGAAGGAGTATTTTGAAGCCTGCTTAAAAAGAAATCTAACTAATTCTAACATATGTAAGATTTTTTGAGTTAATTATTATGCATTTAATCAGGAATGTAATGCAATAACTTTTATGAAAGATTTGCTATTAGAATAGCAGTTACAGTATAAAGATGAAAAGTGGAACATGTAGAAAAAACAAGATATACAAAAATTTTCACCATGTCAGTTAATACTTAGTTGGGTAACCTTTAGCATGAATTACAGCCTTACAACATCTGCCCATGGAATGAACCAAGTCTTTTTAGTTCTGCAGCTGTTATAATGTGAAACCAAGATGGAATGATGGTTTCTATTAACTGGGTTTTATTGCTGGGTCGCTTCTGACTAACAAGTTTCTTTAGCTGGCTCCATAGATTTTCAATTGGGTTAAGGTCTGGGCTATTCCCAGGCCATTCCAGCAGTGGAATAGGATTGTCTTGAAATTCCAAAAAAAAAGTGATGTTATTAGCCATCATACCTCAAAAATACACTTTTCCCAAAAGGTTTCTACAATTTTGGCCACTAATGTACATTTTAGGCTCAATTGTGGTCAAGACTACCTATACAAAGCATCAGGATGTCTTCAGTGATATAAATATGTGCTTGATTTATGTGTATTATTATTATTATTTATTTGATTTGTATACCGCCCTTCTCCAGCAGGACTCAGGGCGGTGAACAGCCGGGATAAAACAGAGCATACAAAATTTTCATACAAAATTTTCGCACACAAAGTATATTAAATATTCAGAGGCTAAAATCTCAGAAGACCATCAAACCTCACAAAATTTCAGTTCCCTCACTCCTGAGATCTCTCATGATCGAGGGATTGAGATCTCACTCAAAGTCCTCATGATCGTGCGGAAGATCACCAACTTCTCATGAGGTTTCACCGTTGCTTTCTAAATTCTCCTGAAATATCAAGGTTCTGGATTAACTTGTAGAAAAAGATTTCACCAAAGAGCCTTGAGAATTTTCAACTTGGCATGACCATGACATGACAATGTTGGACCGTGGCAAGTACAGTGTGATCTCCACTGAGAAATCATGAGTCACCTTGGAAAAGTTTGGACATTAGCTTCAACTTGGACAAATCATAAAAATATTTTCACTTGGAAGTATTTTGGAGTAGGAACAGCTGTGAGAAAAATAATATCCGGACGTCCCTTTCACACAGTTGTCCAAATCAGGGTGATTTTGGCTCACACTTTTGTGGAAGAAGCTAAGGAAGGATCCACATTACTTTCCTTTGACCTAAAGATGCTTTTTCAAGAGGCAACTGGACTTTCTGGTTTTTCTTTGAAGCCATTTCGCTTCTCATCCAAGAAGCTTCTTTAGCTCTGAAGCATCTTGGAGAAGACCTGTTCTTCGTGCCAGCCACGCACGCAGAAACCATTGCCTGCTGCACCGTAGGGACTGTTCTGACACAGCAGGCAATGATGTGTGCATGCGCGGCTGGCGCAAAAAACAGGGTGGCGATGGTGACGATGGGACTGACTGAAGCTCTTTTTCAGTGCATTTGAGAAGAGGAGGCCTGTAGTTTTTGGCGCAAGAAGCCTGCAGTCAGCTGCTGCTACCGACTGGGTTCCGTCTGGCAAAGAGGTGGCAGCTGGGAGACTTCTCGCATTGAAAAAAAGATGTGGCGGCTGCAGGCATCTCGTGACAAGGGGGGGCAAACAAATGCGGGCTAGAGGGGAGCCCAGCAGCGACGGCTCAGCCCTGGCTTGCCTTTCCTGGCAACTAGCCACAGGAGGAAGGTAAGGTAAGGATGGAGAAAGATATGGTTATGGGGGAGGAAGTGGGGAGAGTGAGTAAGGGCAGGGCTGAAATGCTCCCAGTTTGGACCGGATCACCCGATCCAGTAGTGATGGTGGCGGGTGGTTCGGAGAACCGGTAGCAAAAATCCCTGCACCTCCCCCGCATGCCCAGCTAAGCCGCGTGATCATCAGAAGCTTTTTTTTTTTTTACTTTTAAAAGCATTTTTCCTACAACCTCTTCGGCCAAAAAAATGCTTTTAAAAGTAAAAAAAAAAGCCTCTAATGATTGCACGGCTCAACTGGGATCATCAGAGGCTTTTAAAAGCATTTTTTTCTGCAACCCCTTCGATCGAAGAGGTTGTAGGGGGAAAAAATGTCTTTAAAAGCCTCTGGTGATCCAAGCTGACTTGCCTGATCGTCAGAGGCTTCTAAAAGCATTTTTTTCTGCAACCTCTTAAGGTTGTAAAAAAAAAGCTTTTAAAAGTAAAAAAAAAAAAAAAAGTTGACCAGTCACATTACCCACCACATTACCCACCAAGCCAAGCCCACAGAACCAGTAGTAACAAATTTTAGATTTCACCCCTGAGTAAGGGCGAGGGCCTCTGAAGGAGGGGAAACAGGGTAGTGCATGGTGAAGGGAGAGTGGGCGGCCTGCAGGAGGAGGCCTTTGACAGATTCTGAGTTTAGCCACCTCAGACCCTGGGCAGAAAATAGGTAGAAAGGCTGCAATAGCTGTAAGTTCAATTTTTTTTCCTACTGGGTTATGTGGGCGTGGCTTGGTGGGCATGGCTTGGTGGGTGGGACATGTGACTGAGTGTGCATGGTCAACTCGATGTCACTCACAGCAAGGTTCCACCCCACCAAGCCATGCCCACCAAGCCATGCCCAGAGAACCGATAGTGGAAAAATTTGAATCCCACCACTGGATGCCTTCCAGCCATCCGATTAATGATCGTTCAAAATTACGATGGCACTGCAAAAAGGGACTTAGGACCTTCTTTCACACTTACGACGGTTGCAGTCAAGTGATCAAAATTTGGATGCTTTGGCAACTAGTTCCTATTTATGATGGTTGGAGCCTTGGTGGAGCAGCGGACTAAAGCGCTGTTAAATAGCTCTTAGCTGCCAGCTGCCTGCAATTACTGCGAATTCAAATCTCACCAGGCTCAAGGTTGACTCAGCCTTCCATCCTTCCGAGGTAGGTAAAATGAGGACCCGGATTGTGGGGGCAGTAAGCTGACTGTGTATAAAAAAGAACACCGCTTAGGGGGGCCCCCCAAAGCCCTACTAAGCAGGTATATACAAAAGTATGAAGGCTATTGCTTAACGCATTGTAAGCCGCCCTGAGTCTCCGGAGAAGGGCAGCATATAAATCGAACCAATAAATAAGTAAATAAATAAATAAATGGTTGCGACATCCCGAGGTCATCTGGTCAAACTTTTTGTGACCTTCTGACAGGCAAAGTCAATGGGGAAGACAGACTCATTTAACAACAATTCGATTCATTTAACAAACCTTGGTGATTCGCTTAACAACAGTGTGGCAAGACAGGTCATGAAATGGGGCAAAACTTACTCGGCAACTATCCCGCTTAGCAACACAAATTCTGGGCTCCATTGTAGTCATAAGTCAAAGACTATATATATATATATGTATATGCATATTCTTTCTAGCCAGGTTTTACCTACGTAAACTCAGTTGTTCTACAGCCCTAGGTTTACAGTAAACAACTGAGTTTACGTAGGTAAAACCTGGCTAGAAAGAATATGAACATAAAAGCCTATGAAAAAGGAAAAAAGATATATGTATATATATATATGTTCAACCTCATTTGTTGATAACGGAGCGGGAAATAGGTCTCCAAAGATTGTACGGTCCTTACCTGTGGGCAGTCTTTGATGTAGTGTCCCTTGTTAAAGCAAAGGTGGCACAAATAGTTTGGTGGAGGTCTCTTGCTTGGCTTTCTGGCATCTGATGATAGGGAAATGTCAGAGAAATGTTCCGTAAGGGAATTCAAGCCATCCACAATGTTATTAAGAGATCCATAAGGAGAGGCACTCTTATACAGACTGCTGTTCAAGGCCTGGAAAAGAAAAAATAAATAAATTTAGTTGTTGTTGTTTTTCCCAAGGTGAGCATTTCTTCTTCTTTTTTACGGACCCCAAAGAATGCAGCACACACAAAGTCTGTACAAACCTTAGTTTACTAAATTAAATCAGTCTTTTTCAAACAAAGGCTGTTAATTAACTTTCTTAACAGCCTACAAGAATCCAAAGAATAAATAATCGTAATCTTACTATGGTTGGCAGAAAGCCCAGAATCAATTTGTAGAGAACTAAGATCAAGACATGAAGGAGAGTGAACGAAGTTGTTCCCTGCAAATTGCCTCAGTCCTTCCTTAAATAGGCTAAGGGAGTGGCCAATTAGCCCCAAGCCTTACTCTCGAGGAGACCTTCTCCTGAGGAGCCTCTCCTGCCTTTTGGCAGCTCTGCGCGCCCATGCATCGAGAAGAGGCTCCTCCTCTTCTTCCTCTTCACTTATGGAAGCTTCTGGAGGTTCTGAAGGCCCTGGCTGAATCCCCGCCTCTGGCACCAATTCTTCTCCAGCCTCCTCATTGTCTGACTCAAGTGTCAGCTGCACAGGCTGCTGGCACAGCATCACACCAGCCTCCTTGCTCTATCGAAGCACCTGGTCTACCCCAATATGGGAAGGAGCATACTGCTTCCCTTTCGCCTTTCAGCTCCAATCCAGGAGCCCTCAAGCAGTCGCATTCACGACAAACCATTTTATACAAATATAAATTTGTATATTGATTTTCAATATTGTTACTACCTTACAAAATATTGTTTCTCTATCCATCATCTCTCAGCCTTTCTAGAATTCCATGGCTTCCATGACGGCCATGGACCTGACCCAGTTAGTTCACGGCCCTACTCACAGGGGAGGTCACACTCTGGATTTGATTTTTGTCTCTGGCCAGTGGTTGAGTGGTCTTGTTATAGGGGATATAGACATGGAACCCTTGTCATGGACTGACCACTCACTCCTTCGCCTAGATCTTCGAACCGCGACCCCTCGCCGCAGGGAGGCGGACCCAATTAGATGGATCCGCCCCAGGCGCCTGATGGATCCTGATAGGTTCCAGACAGAGCTTGGGCCATTTCCTGAGGATCTAGCACATGACTCGGCCGAGGACCTGGTAGCCGCCTGGGATCGGGCGGCTGGTGGGGCCTTGGACCGAGTTGTGCCTTTGCGGCCTCTGACCCGATGCCGATCCCGTGCGGCTCCTTGGTTTACTGAGGAGCTGAGGGAAATGAAGCGCCGGAAAAGACGCCTGGAGAGCGGTTGGAGGGCCAGTCTCGCTGAATCTGATCGAACACTGGTAAGGTCGCATATTAAGACCTACCTAGTGGCGATAAAGACGGCAAAGTCTAACTACTTTTCCGCCTCTATTGCGTCATCAGGGAATCGTCCGGCCGCCCTGTTTAGGGTGACCCGCGCCCTGCTCCATCTGGGAGTGCGGGAGGATCCCTTAGAAGGCAGGGCGGAGGATTTCGGACAATACCTGTATGACAAAATCGCTCAGATCCGGGGGGATTTGGACTCTGACTGGGTAGATCAGGGCAGGGTGACGAGGAACAGTCTTGAGAATGTTATCTGGGAGGAGTTTGATGCTGTGACTCCCGATGATGTGGACAGGATTTTGGGGAGACTTAGTGCGGCCACATGTTTACTGGACCCGTGTCCCTCCTGGTTGGTACTGGCTTCCCGGGAGGTTACACGAGGCTGGCTCCAGGGCGTCATTAATGCTTCGTTGAGTGAGGGTCACTTCCCCGCTGCCCTGAAAGAGGCGGTGGTGAGGCCTCTCCTCAAGAAGCCGTCCCTGGACCCAGCAATATTGGCTAACTATCGTCCTGTCTCCAACCTTCGCTTCATTGCGAAGGTTGTTGAGAGTGTGGTCGCGCAACAGTTTCCACAATTCCTGGAGGAAACATCCTATCTAGATCCGTTCCAGTCGGGTTTCAGGTCTGGGCACAGCACGGAAACGGCATTGGTCGCGTTGGCGGATGATCTCTGGAGGGCTCGGGACAGGGGTTACTCCTCTGTTCTGGTCCTATTAGATCTCTCAGCGGCTTTTGATACCATCGACCATGGTATCATGCTGCACCGGCTGGAAGAGTTGGGGGTGGGAGGCACTGTGTTGCGGTGGTTCTCCTCCTTTCTCTCCGACCGGTCGCAGTTTGTGTTGGCAGGGGGGCAGAGGTCGACCTCGAGGCCTCTCATTTGTGGAGTGCCGCAGGGATCGGTCCTCTCGCCCCTTCTGTTCAACATTTATGTGAAGCCGCTGGGCGAGATCATCCGTGGCTTTGGGGTGAGATACCACCAGTACGCTGATGACACCCAGCTGTACATTTCCACCCCAGGCCACCCCAACGATGCCCTTGAAGTGATGTCCCAGTGCCTGGAGGCTGTGCGGATCTGGATGGGGAGGAACAGGCTCAGGCTCAACCCTTCCAAGACTGAGTGGCTGTGGCTCCCGGCATCCCGATATAGTCAGTTGACTCCATCACTGACTATTGGGGGCGAGTCTTTGGCCCCCACTGAAAGGGCTCGCAATCTGGGAGTCCTCCTGGATAGGCAGCTGTCTTTGGAGGAACATCTGACGGCTGTTACCAGGGGGACTTTTTATCAGGTTCGCCTGATTCGCCAGTTGCGGCCCTTTCTTGATCGGGATTCCTTGTGCACAGTCACTCACGCCCTCGTCACCTCTCGCCTTGACTACTGCAACGCTCTCTACATGGGGCTCCCCTTGAAGAGCACCCGGAGGCTCCAGCTGGTCCAGAATGCAGCAGCGCGGGTAGTGATGGGAGCAACATGGCGCTCCCATGTAACACCGCTCCTGCGCGAGCTGCACTGGCTCCCGGTGGTCTTCCGGGTGCGCTTCAAGGTGTTGGTTATCACCTTTAAAGCGCTCCATGGCATAGGGCCTAGCTATCTCCGAGACCGCCTGCTGCTACCGACGACCTCCCACCGACCCGTGCGCTCCCACAGAGAGGGCCTCCTCAGGGTGCCATCAGCCAAACAATGTAGGCTGGTGGCCCCCAGGGGGAGGGCCTTCTCTGTGGGGGCTCCTACCCTCTGGAATCAGTTGCCCCCGGAGATAAGAAGAATCCAGGACCTCAATGCCTTCCGTCGTTCCCTGAAAACCCATCTTTTTCAACAAGCCGGGTTGGCCTAAGAAGAAATTTTTAAAATTTTAAAATTTTTAAATTCTTTTAATTAGTCTGTGATTCTTAACTTTCGGGCCAAAATTTATATATATTTTTAAATGTTTTAATATTTGTATCCTATGTTTTTTATCTTGGCTGTACACCGCCCTGAGTCCTCAGGGAGAAGGGCGGTATATAAATTGGAAATTAAATTAAATTAAATTAAATCATTTATTGATTTTTTTTGGTGATTCTTTTATATTTCTCTCTTGGAATCCTATATGTCTTTCTAACATTTTTACACAAACTGATTATTCCCTCTGCCTTATCCTTTATCTCCTTCTGCTGCGTCTTTTGAATATCCATCCATAACCCTTTCTTTGTTTTTGTGAGCTCCTCCTTCCCCCACCCCCTCTATTCTATTATAAGCTCTCAAGGGATTGTCTATTTATCAACATTATTAGTATTTGTCATTGCTGCCTTTTCAGTATTTTTCTCTGCTTTTAATTCATTTTTATCTTTTTGTAGTTTATTTTGCATTGTCTCCTCCACCACTCTTTCTAATTTCTCAGCTGTCTTCTGTGTATCATATTCATCTTTTCCCACCATTTGTTGAGTGCCCTCTACTTTCACATCTTTATCTTTAAATGCTCCTATCTGCTTCTTATAGTTCTTTGTCGCTATTTCTAACATTTCTTCATAAAACTTTACTGTCTCCTGATGGATCATTTTGTAACAAATTAATATCCTTCTAATATCCCAGTATTCCAATATTTAAAAATTAAAAAATAAATAAATCAATTATTAGCAAGATTTGATCAATCCCAAAGTTATTTTTTTTAGGTGAGCACCTCTGATTTATTCTGCATTCAAACAAAAGCCACATTTGAAATTGTGACAGTTACAATCATAGGGACATAGATCAATCAAACCAGAGGGCAAGAAAAGAAACAATGGGTGGATAATAACAATGAGAGCTCCAACTTGGAACTAAGGAGAAACTTAGAAGGTCCATCTGGCAGGGCCCAGAAGAAGGGCCTTCTCCATGGTGGCTCCCTTCCTTTGGAACATCATCCCCACAGAGATTAGATTGACCCCCCTTTTTGATCCTCCTTTGCACGCTCAGAAAATCTGATTTTGCCCCACGAGCCTGAGAACTCTAGAGTGAGATCATCAAGCAGGGGTGAAATGCTACTAGTTCGTACCGGTTTGGGCGAACCGGTAGTAATAAACGCTACCAGTTTGGGCGAACCGGTAGTAAAATAAAGCTACCGGATTGTCTGAACTGGTATTTCCAATGATCAGCTGTGCCGAATGATTTATATTCACTAGAAAACAGGAAATCCTGCTTTCTAGCAAATTTAAATCACGTGGCACAGCTGTTCCCCCCTCGCTGTTCTACTTACCTTCAAACGCCTCCTTTTTCCACAAAATCACGCATTTGGCATGCAGCGCTCATGTGCGGGCAGCAAACCAGTGGCAACCCATGGAGGATTTCACCACTGCCATCAAGTGGCTTGTTTGGTTGATTGTTGTCATTGGGGGTGGGGTGTTTTTATATATTGGGTTTTCATTTTTTGTAAGCTGCCCAGAGGCACAGAGAGTGAGTGGACCACCATATAAATTCAATAAACAAACAAATAAATAAAACTTCCTGACCGTGAAAACAATTCATCAATGGGTTAGCTTGCCTTCTGGTGTTTGTAGGTGGTCCATCACTGGAAGTTTTTAAGAAAAGTTTGGCTAGTCACTTGTCCGGAATGGTATAGTGGGTTGGAATAGAGGACCTCGAAGGCCCCTTCCAGCCCTGTGAATCTTTGTTCTATGATAATCGAGGGAGAGACAGAATTTATTTATCTGACTCCCATCAAAA